AGCTCTGTTAAAAGCATGTATTAATTAATCAATGTGACTTCATTTACTTACCTTTATCTGGATGATTCAGAAGCATGATCCGTCTATGGGCTTCTCGAATTTTACTTCTGTTGGCTGTAGGGCTTTAAAAGAGAGAGAAAAACTGACTTAAGAGAACCTCATAAAATGCCCCAGATCTTTAGAACAAGCAAGCACTCTGTCTTATCCATAAGCTCTTTGGCTTACATGTATGTTTTTCTTTTCCTATCACTGATAGGAAAAGAAAGTAATGTAAAAGAAAGCATGTAAGTCCTGGAGAGGGTTTCTAAGGTTTTTCCAAAATACTGTATCCTGAAGAAGACAAGCTATAGCAGCCTAACATGGTGGGGGACATTCACATGGTTGAAAACAGAACTATGTTGTAACATTTTTACTGGGACAACTTCCTAAAGTCTGGGGGAAAAAAATAAAATTTGCTCTCGATTTATTTAAAAAAGCCAAACAACAACCTGTCTGTATACAAAATTCACAGTTGGAAGTTGCCTTCAAACAGAAATGGTTCCTATTCTGTATCTTACTAGATAAATCTGTGTATTTGGTCTTAAGTCTCTTTAAGTTTTGGCAGGGACAGTCACCATACTCATATCTAACATTTTCTAGAAGTGATGAATTTACTCTACATCCAAGAATTGGGTTTGCAGCACCTTCACACTGCATCTATCTGAAATTCACCAGCAGTGACAGGAACCACAAGCAAACGGCACAACCGTGTTCCCCATACCGCGTAAACCCCAAAGCTTCTTGAAAATGGTATATTTACCTGGACCTGTACGTGGCTTTTGAATGTGCTAGGGATTTGCAGACGCATGAAAGTCCAGCTAGAGTTAGCTTTAAGCAAGCTAACATGCAGCAAAGAATTCCAAATAAGTACAGAAAATCCTGAAAGGCTGCTTCCTACTTCCTGACTTGGCAGTGGCATTCCCAGGGGAAGCTGGGCATAGGACAGTCTTAAGCACTGAGAATTATGTCCTTTACAAACCAGGCCAGCAACTAGGCAACACCGTAGCCTCCTTTTTACCTTTCATTTCTAATAAATTTCCTTTTACCTCACTCCTAGTATTAAAGCTGCTTCTCGTTTAGTCATTTTGGGTTCAAATCCACCTCTGTAATAACCACTGAAGGCCTGAAAGAGAAAACGTGTTAGTTTAAAAAAACACTAATTTTTATCAGTTAAAACAACTATTGCTTTAGTAGCTGCTAAGCTTTTAGTCTGTAAGAATACTGCAAAGCTTCTTTTGCGCTTGCAATAAGAAATTCAGTTGAAGTAGAGTATCACTATTTAAATAAGTACTTAAACTTGCCAAAACAAGTTCTCTATTAGTCAACCACCACCAGAATCGCCGAGATTGTTATTACTGACAAAGTTATGCTTAGTATTAGAAGAAAATACAGCAATGCTTATACAGAGACAACAGCCTGTAGTTATTTTACCAAGTAAACTTTTAAATAAAAAAAATGCTACTAATAAAACAAAAGCTTACAGGTTTTGGTAGATTCTGAAGTGCTTGTTTTACTTGTGGCTCCATTTGCTTCACAGCTTTTAGTGCATAGCGACCTTAAAAGAAATCAGTGTTGAACAAGACCAAGTATAAAGTTTCATAAAGATTCAGCAGTTCAGTGCAACTGGTAACTTGTGGATTAGAAAGTGGAATAAACATTTTGGGGACATAACAAAGTAAGAACTTTGATCTTTTGTTTAATTACAGCCATGTTTCTCGATACAGGCTCTCCCAAAAGTGTCCTGTATCAGCTATTAAACTACCTTAAAATTCATCAGTACTGAGGCGGGCAATGGCAAGTACAACTGGTCAGTGTCCTCCCACCACCTACAAACCTGCAAATCCAGCTGCCGCTATAGTCAGGCCAACCGCCACCATTGTACTGGCCTACACAGGGAAAACAGAAAGTATTTGTTTACCAAAAGAAAACAAAAAAAGCCCACCGGCAATCTCTACAGCGGGTCGGACTAGTATATACGTTGAAAACAACATGACTAAGGGAAAAGCGGTCATAACACGATTTACTTCGGCTACGCCGCTCTAAGCGACCGCAGGGGCACAGCGAAAGCAGCGCAGCTGCTGCCGGCAGCGGGGCTGGGGGTCAGGCGTGCCCGGGAGGGGCGGGAACCCCCCAGCTCGGGGGGACGAGGGAAACCCAGCCCGGCTGCATCGTCCCGCTCGGCGGCCCCGCTTTAACCCCGGAGGCACCGGCGCCGCGGCAGGAGACAACGGG